GATGAAGTTTATCTTACTTGAAGTGCTTCTGGTCCTCCCTTCAAAGCACTTTTATTTAGGCCGATGACTTTGGAGGCAAGGTCTACCCTTTGGAAGGAGATGCTTGGGTTTTTATGCAAGTCCACCCTCACTCCGATTTTCCCCAGCTTTTCCTAATTCCACATGTGGAACAGACAAATGAGTTCCTCAAACAATAGCTGTGGAACAGTAGGAATTATCATAGTTACAAAGATGGCTGTGTTTATGTTTGCTGTCTTTGCGGTAACCCATTCGTCTGCTCTCATGTAACGGAAGTTCTGATGGCATGATATTATAACTAAAAGGACATAAAAGTTGACATGCTGGGTGGGTTTTGTATTTGTTCATCACGATCCCATGGGACTAGCTATTCAAGATCTCTCTGTGCCGTCAAAGATAAAGTCCCAAGGTAGACCTGATGGTCGGCATCTTGGCAAAAATGTTCCAGCTGCTTCTTCAAAACTTATGTGTAGGTAGGATTCGTTGTGGCTGCTTGTAACAGAAAACCCAAAATACCAACGGCTTAAACACACAAAGATGTATTCCTTCATGGAGAAGTCAGGATCTGCTGGGCAAAAGAGGCGTCACAGCACCACGAAGTCTTCCGGTCTTTCTGCTCCTTCTGCACTGGCTTGCATCTTGAGGTAAACTCCTGGCCCCAGTAGCTCTGAATCTCCAGCCGTCACTCCTGTGTCCTGGACTTCAGGGAGAATGACAGCAAGGAGGCAGCAAAGGGCCTCCCCTTGAGGAACCGTGCCTGCAGCCCAGCGCAGCTCCGGGCTTTACGTCTCGTTAGCCAGCATGTAGCCGTGTGCCACACACAAACGCGCGAGGAAGGAGCTACCATGTGACACATGGCCCAGCTTCTGTCACTAAGGGAAACACAAAAAGACAAACATGCAGGCAACAAATGGCTTTGCCAGAAGCCCCTTTTAAGCAGCTCCAAAATATTAGTTCATATCAATTCAGACGTAGAAAATTGTATTGGGAAATTTGGCACTTGCAGGAAACTCTACGCTGGAAATTCAAGCGGATTAACAGGATGATGTGATTTGAGTTGCGCTGGCTGCAGGGAGTAAGACTGTACGAAGACTAAAAGGAGCATGAGTCTGTGGGGTGCAGTCTTGGTGCTCTGTGATCAGTGTGCCCCTTTCAGCTGGGGACCTTCCTGCTCTGCCCTGTGGCCGCCACATGTAGGAATGCCCAGTGCCAGGGTGTCACTAGATCCCTTGCCCTACCCCCAGTCATTTCCGCTAGGCCTTGGTAAGAGCAGTGTTTCGCTTTGCACTGCTGGTGGGAATGCAAACTAATTCAACCTCTATGCAAAACAGTACAGCGATTTCTAAAATAGCTAAAAGTTGACTGAGAATCTACCTAGAGGAGCTCAAATCATTCTACAAAACAGGATACCTGCACATGCATGCTCGTTGCAGCACTATTGACGAGCAAAAACATGGAGCCAACCGTGCTGCCCCTCAAAACTGGACTGGGAAAAAAGTACATATACACAATGGAATGTTACGCAGCCCTAGAGAAGGACAAACATAGACTTTGCAGCAGCTTGGATGGATTTGGAGTCGGTGAGACTCACTGATCTATCACAGAAGCATAACAGAGCTCCACATGTTCTCACTCATAAGCAGACTCTTACTCTGTAAGAAAGGGATTGGCAGTAGCAGGACGCTGCCGGGGGTGGGGCTGGGGGGGACGCAACATCCGTGAGGACACCTGGTCTCAAGCCAGGCCAGGTGGGGAGCAAAGGGAGGCCCAGACTTGACCTGCACCATGTCCCCTTGTATGCCTAATCCTGAATTGCACTCCACGCCTTTAAAATAAAATATTAAAAGAGGTGATGATAAAATGTAAATAAAATCTTATTGTAATCTCAAAAGCCCCCAGTTTTTCTCAGATGTCAGTTAAACAGCTAGAATTAGGCATTATGATCTTGGTCTCCATTTTGTATAACATTGTGGTAACCAGTTATCAGAAGTCTTGCAGCTACTTCTAGCAGTCATTTCAATATGTTACTAAGTAGTAATGTGTGTATGTATTAGTGTGTTGAGAAGTAATAAAAATTAGGTGTCTCAAAACTGTATTTTAGCCTTCATAGAATAAGAACTATAAGCAGCAATTCTCTGAAGCAGTGACTGAATTAAATGTCTAAGTCGACAGATACTTCAGTGCTAATGCTGTAGGTCCACTGTTACCAAGACCCAAGCTGTTAGCTTTGTTTCACTTGGAACACCAAATTAAACTAAGGAATACAGTGTTGGAGCAGAATTTTGATACATAAAGAGATTAAACACCCGACCTAATTCACTCCATGCTCTAATTAATATTTGATCAAAGCAGCCAAAATTTTTAATAGACACTTTCCTATTCTTTTTTTTTTTTTTTGAGTTGGAGTCTCACTGCTTCACCCAGGCTGGAGTACAGTGACACACACGCTCACGGCCACCCCAGTGTTGACCTACTGGGCTCCAGCGATCCTTCCGCCTCAACCTTCCGAGTAGCCGGAATTACAGACACGTGCTACCACACCCGACTATTTTCAAATTTTATTGTAGAGATGACATCTCTAAATTGCCCAGGCTGGTCTCAAACACGAGGGCTCAGGCAATCCACTCACCTTGGCCTCCCCACGTACTGAGATTACAGGCTGAGCCAACCGAGCCCTGCTACTTTCCTATTCTTATAAATCTTAATGGACTTTAAGTATATCAACAAAACTCATAAGTATATCAACAAAGCTCACAGTAAATAGTTTTCAGGAAAATGCCAGTGAAAATCAACAGAAATTTATTTGTGCCATGAGAATGCCAAACTTAAAAGACTGGTGATACTCAGTTGTCAAGGATGTTGACAAGGATGTGGAGGAAAAAAACAAGTACTCTCATATGCTGTTGTGGGTAGCATAAAATGATGCATTTGGGAGGGTACTTTGGCAGAACCGTTTAAAATCTGAAATGTTTAAAAACCTTTCATCTCCATAATTCTGCTTCTAAGTGGCCTAAAGAACTATTAGCACCTGCCTGAATAGTGAAAAGCGAGGAATAAATTATGAATTATAAATAAACTATGGTAGATGTACTGAGTTTTTCAAATCATAACTAAAGTGGGGAACAGAATCTTGTGGAGGAGAAAACTGGTGTAAATGATACTGTTTAAGTGATGAAACTAGGCTAACTTTAATGAAATGAATTCAAATCAATATGTAAAACTTTATTTCTGTGGGTTTTCCTGAGAGAAGAATGTTCCCCAGCCCCAACTTTTGTGGGATACCTTGTTTCAGGAAGTCTATAAAGAAAAGCTGCTAATGAGGGAATTACTACATTTACATATGGACCATGTATCAAAAAGTTAAAATTATTTAGATTATAAGTGACAGTTTAAAACCTAACTCAAACTGGCTTAACCCCCCCCCCCGCCAAAAAAAGGAATTTTATTGACTCATGTACACAAAAGATCAAGAACAGAGCTTCAAGTTTTATCCAGGGTTCAAAGAGCCTGACAAAACGTCTAATTTCTCTTGGTTTTCATTTATCAGCTCCATTTTCTCATTTTGGTTCTTCCAAATAACCTCTCCTCTCATCATGCCAGGGCTACATGCAGGCTTAAGTCTAGAGAAGAAAAATATGTGTCACTCTTTCCCAAAATATCCAATAGTAATCTCCCTCTGAATGGGTCATGGTCTCATCCCTGAGTCAATGCATATGCACTGTTGCTTCGGCTCTACGTGAGAACAAGCCTACCAGAAGTACACAGGCCAAGTATGGGGAAAGGGGTGGTTGTACAGAGGCAAATCGGGGCGGGTAGGCAAGGGAAGGATAAAGGGGCACTGGGCATCAGAAATACCAGGTGCCCCGCAGACGTGCAATCACATAGAACGTTTGTGTTGCTTAGAATTATGAACGGAGTTCTTGCCCTGTATGGCACGTCTAACTAAAACTGCCTGGTAGAGGCCACACTCATATTTGGTGCTGTCTGTGGAATAAAACTTAACTTGCTGAATGATGTCTAGCTCCTACAGTCAGTCTCTGAGACTGTCAGGGAGCTTGAAGAAACCAGTTTAGGATCACTGACCCCTTTGACTGGCAAAGCCCAAAGGGATCCTCTTGATTCAGAGGGTTTCTGATCAACCTTCTCACCTCTCAGAGAAACGGAAGTCTTGGAGAAGCCAGATAACTTGCCTGAAGATAAGATTGCACACCAAATCTGTGGCAGAGACAGGACTAGAAATTTGATCATTCATCTTCCAGCCTAATACTCTTTTTTTTTTTTTGAGTTAGAGTCTCACTCTGTCACCCAGACCGGAGCGCAGTGGCCGCTCCCAGCCACCGCAGCCTCGACCTGCTGGGCTCCGGTGATCCTTCTGCCTCAGCCTTCCGAGTAGCTGGAATTACAGGCATGTGCTACCACACCCGGCTGATTTTTTGATTTATTGTAGAGTTGAGGTCTCGCCAAGTTGCCCAGGCGGGTCTCGAACTGTGGGCTTAGGCAGTCCACTCACCTCGGCCTCCCAAAGCGCTGGTATTACAGGCTGAGCCACCGAGCCCGGCCCTCTTTTTAGTAATTAATGATAATAATAATAGCAGGTAATATTTATTATTTGCTATGTGCTAGACAATGTGCTAAGCAGTTCTCCTGCAGAAATCTCATTTAATCCTCACAACTGTTTTATTCTCAAATTAGTAGAAATGAGGCACAGAGGAGCTTATCCAACTACCTTCAGAAGCTTCCATCATTCTTTCCCTGCCGATGTTTCAGACTGCAAACAGGCCTCTTTCTCCCAAGCTAGCCAATGCTGGTTTGTACCTTTGCCTTGAGTATAGAAAATGCAATGAGTGAGAAAGGTCCTTGTCAGAAATCCTGTTGGGTGTGCCCTCACAGAGACAGGTCTGGATTCTAGGATTTGTAATAACTAAACATAAATCTTACATTTTAAAAGGCGGTTTTTAATTTGTTGCTATTTCTTTATACAGGAGCTTCCAGAGAGTCAAGGCAAAGCATACCAGATTACCTACAAATAAATGAAATACTGTTAATCAGCGATCAAGAATTTCTCCCCTGCCATATAATGGATCAGCACTGGAAGTTCTATGTGGAATGTGAGGAACTGACATTCTAAAGCCTTGTTTTCTTAATGTCTTTCTAGCTCTGTATTCACATTGTCAACAGACATTTATAGTTTATTTTGTGTGGTCTGTTTGGCCTATTCTTACACGTTATGGGTTGCTACTTAAGATGTATATTTGTTGTCATAAGGAAAAATGTAACTCTTCAGCTATTATAATGAGATTAATACATTTTTGCCACTGAAATAAAGGCATGTTTGAACTAGACCATATTGACTCTCTGGCTTTCCTTTTACTAACATAAACTAGGTTTTCAATCAATACTTCTACATTTGTATAAAAAACAATTGTTCCTTAAGAGAAATGAGGATACAAATAAAAATCATGGGCATACCCCGGAGATATTATAGGTTCAGTTCAAGACCACTGCAATAAAGCAAATATCACAATAAAGGAAGTCACGTGAATTTTTTTGTCTTCTCAGTATCAAAGTTATGTTTATACTATATTGTAGTCTGTTAGGTGTTCAATAGCATTTTGTCCAAAAACAATGTACATACCTCAATTGAAAAATAACTTATTGCTAAAAAATGCTAACCATCATCTAAGCCTTCGGTGAGTCATAATCTCTTTGCTGGTGGAGGGTCTTCCTTTGACACTGATGGCTGCTGACTATTCAGAGTGGTGGTTGCTGAAGGCTGGGGCAGCTGTGGCAATTTCTTAAAGTAAGACAACAATGAAGTTTGCCACATTGATTGACTCTTCCTTTCGTGAAAGATTTCTCTGTAGCGTGCAGTGCTGCTTGATAGCATGTTACCCACATTAAACTGTCTCAAAATTAGAGTCAGTCCTCAAACTCTGCTGCTGCTTTATCTACTGAGTTTATGTACTATTCTAAATCCTTTGTTGTTATTTTAACAATGTTCACAACATCTTCACCAAGAGTAGATTCCACCTCAAAAAAACCACTTTCTTTCCTCCTGCATAAGAATCAGTTTTTCATCTGTTCAAGTTTGGTCATGAGATTACAGCAATTTAATCACATCTTCAGACTCCACTTCTAATTCTAGTTCTCTTGTTATTTCCACCACATCTGCAGTGACTTATTCCACTGAAGCCTTTTTTTTTCTTTTAAGTTTATCAACCTGCTTAAAGGCATTTATTAAAAATACCCATAACTGCAAGGCTCGGTGGCTCAGCCTGTAATCCCAGCACTTTGGGAGACTGAGGCGAGTGGATTGCCTGAGCCCGGAGGTTCAACACCAACGTGGGCAACTTGGTGAGACCTCGTCTCTACAATAAATCAAAAATTAGCCGGGCGCGGTAGCATGTGCCTGTGGTTCTGGCTACTTGAAAGGCTGAGGCAGAAGGATTGCTGGAACCCAGCAGGTAGACACTGGGGTGGCCAAGTCCAGCAGGTTGATGCTGGGGTGGCTGTGAGCATGTCACTCCAGCCTGGGCAACAGAGTGAGACTCCAACTGAAAAAGAAAAAAAAAATACCCACAGCTAATATCATAACTCGGTGGTGAGACTGAGTGCTTTTTTTTTTAATTTTAAAGATACGGAGTACAATTCAGGGTTAGGTATACAAATATTCATTATGCAGGTGCCCTTGTTGATGAGGTGTGCCCCCTCCTGGCAGTTTCCCACTGCTGCCAATCCCTTTCTTATAGTATTATGATAATTGTTCAAGGTCCGCTTATGAGTGAGAGACTGAATGCTTTCTCCTTGAGACAACACATATTAGTCACAGTTGTTGCTCCTTGACACAAAGTGGACTATGCAAATAACGGCTAGAAATAATGACAAAAAGTGAAGGGCAAACAATAAAAATAATTTACATGAGACTATATGATAAGTTACTTAAAATCGATACTAACTCTTCATTAGCAAAGAAAATGAAATAAATGTCTTTATTCCCAAAAGAGAAGCTTTTCCCATTAAAAATAGAAGAATGTATATAATCTGTGAGGGATAACCAGAACTTGCCACAGAAGGACAGTGAGAAAAACCTGAATAATTAACAAAGACTTTTTCATTCATCTGTTAATGACAGAAGAATTAAACAACTGCATAAAAGTTTAATCTACTTGAATAGGTTACAAATACATTTCAATTCACCATGGTTCCAGTGTGCTTAAGTGAGTAGAAAAAAATTGTGTTAACTGAATTCAGTAATAAGTACTAGCTACTAGACTCTTACTAGTACTCTTACAAGTACTAGTTAACTCTTACTATTATTCTTACTAGTACTAGTAAGCTCTCTCCCACTGCTTAAAACTTATCTGTAGAATGTTTACCTCAATGTTTTCCTGGAAAAAAAAAGTGGAAATCTGTAATGCAGAGACGCTCTTTAATAATTAGTCACTGATAAACACAATGTATTTATAACTTATACAAATTTTCATTCATGTGCATTTTTTCAAGCATTATACAATAATTAATTTGCATCAGTCTTCCTAAATTATCTACATTTAAAGGATTTCTTTCTAGTAGAAGTTTTCACTGTCTTTTGGAGTGATTGTTAAAGTTAAAATTTTTTCTGTATTTTCCAAACTACTGAGATTTCACTCCACTGTGTTTCTTATATTCATTAGGTTAATTTACAGTATATATTATTAATATATATATTGTAATTTGTCCCTAAATAAATAGGACAGAAATAAAGGCATTCCCATATTCCATACATTCATAGAGTTTTCCTCAGAAATGAGTTACTTCATGTCGTTGAGTGCAGCCAGAACAACTAAAAGCCTTATCACATGTTTACGTTCACAGGCTTTTCTCCAGTCCTTTCATGGTTTCTAGAGAAATGGAAAAATTGAAGCCTTTACTATATTTTTGACATTCATGTCTTTCCTCTAGTATGCTATTTGCATGATTTGTCATATTCCTTACATTTATAAGGTTTCTGTCAAATGAGTTCTTTCCTGTGTACTAAGGAAACTGGAAAATCTTAACATTTCTTACATTCATAGGGTTACTCTCCAGTATGAATTCTTTTATGCTCATGAGAGCAACTGGAATATGTGAAGGTTTCACCACATTTTTTCCTCATTCATAGGACTTTTCTCCAACTTGAGTTTTTAAAATAGTTCAAAAGGCTACTGGAACGACTATAGGTTTTGCCACATTCCTTACATTCATTCATAGGATTCTTCTGCACTATAAATTCTTTCATGTTTTTGAAGGGAACTGGAACATCCACATACTTTCCAACATTTTTTACTTAAATAGGCTTTATCTTCAGTGCAAGTTCTTTTATGTTTATGAAGGTAACTGGAATATAGAAAAGATTTACCACATTTCTTGCATTCATATGGTTTTTTTCCACTGAGTGCTTTCATGTGTTTGAGAGTAACGACCATCTGAAGGCTTTGCCACATATTTGACTTTCATGAAGTTTTCTACAGTGTGAATTATTTCAGCCTTGCATAGAACTGAATCATCCAAAGCCTTTTCCACAGTCCTTACGTTCATAGGGTTTCTCTCTCTTGTGAGTTCTTCCGTGTACGTGACAGGCACTGGAAAAACTGAAGGCTTTCCCACGCTGTTTACATATATATGGCTTCTCCCTACATTCCTCACACTTATGTGGCTTGTGTCCAGAGTGAGAGAGGGTGTATCACATGAAGGCTTTTCCGCACACGCTGCATTCACATAATTTTACTCCAGTAGAATGTATTCTATTCAGACTAAGACTTGGATTCTGGCTGAGGATGTCTCTATGCTGACACCATTTTTACTGTCACGGAGTCTTTCTACCATATGATGCCTATAAAAGCCAGGTTACTGGAGGTTCTCTGCATTACGTGTCTGTAGAGATTCTGCTGAGAAAAACCCAGTAAGGCCTGTTCCACCTGGGTGAAGATCCAGCTACATCCTCAAATCCATTGACTCTATTTCCCAGTGTCCCGGGTTCTCCCTAGGGGCATCCAGTACCTGCAGGTCACCGGGCAACAGAGGCCACGGCAGAGACACCTGGGACCCCAGGAAAGTAGAAGAAGGAGCAGCGGAGACCCCACCGCAAGCAGAGGCAAAAGACACAAAGCTCCACCGAAGTCTTGAACCTTTCGAAGTCATCCATGAGAGCCTGAATTAACTTCTTTTAAACTCTTGTTAATGTTGATATCTTGACCTCCTTCCCCAAATTACAAATGTGCTTAATGGCATCTAGAAGGGTGAATGCTTTACAGGAGTACTTCGCCCAGATTCATCAGATTAATCTCTCTCCATAGCAGCTATAGCCTCCTTCCTTCCTCCTCCCCCTCCCTCCTTCCTTCTGTCTCCCCTCCCTTTTCCCCTCCCTCCCTTCCTTTCCCCCCTCCGTCCCTTCCCTCTCTCCTTCCCTTCCCCCTCCCTCCATAAAGAAAATAATAATAATAATGAGACAAAGGAGTCTAAATTACTCCTTGATCCATGGGCCTCAGAATGGATGTTGTGTTAACAGACATGAAAACGACACGAATCTCTTTGCACAGCTTCATCAGAGCTCTTGGATGACCAGGTACATTGTCAATGAGCAATATTATTTTGAAAGAACTGTTTTTATCAGAGCAGTAGGACTCAGCAGTGGACTTAAAATATCCGGGAACCATGCTGTGAACAGATGTGCTGTCACCCAGGCTTTATTGTTTCAATATCTAGCGGGGAGGCAGAATAGATTGAACGTTGTTCTTAAGGGTCCTAGGATTTTCAGAAGGGTAAATGGGCATTGGCTTCAACTTCAAGTCTGCAGCTGCATTCACCCTCTAACAAGAGAGTAGGCCTGTCCTTTGAAGCTTTGAAGCCCAGACATTTTCTCCGCTCTAGCTATGCAAGTCCTGGATGGCAACTGCTGACAGAAGGCTGTTTCAGCTACCTTGAGAATCTGTGCTCAATGAGCTTAGCTAGATCTCCTGGATGACTAGCTGCAGCTTCTCCATCAGCACTTGCTGCTTCACCCTGCACCTTTCTGTCATGAGGAGGCAGGTTCTTTGCTTGAACCTCACAGAGCAACCTTTGCTAACTTCCGGCTTTGCTTCTACCGCTTCCTCACTTCTCTCAATCTTCATAGAACTGAAGACAGGTAAGGCCTCGCTCTAGCTTCGATTTTGGCTGAAGGGAGCATTGTAGCTGCTGGTGGTTCTATCCAGACCACTCAAACTCTCTCCACATCAGCAAGAAGGCAGTTTTGCTTATTCGTGTATTCACTGAAGAAGCACTTTTAATTTCCTTCCAGAGCATTTCGTTTGCATTTACAACTTAGCTTTTTGGCACAAGAGGC